AAGGGGTAAATAGGGAAGAATTATTTTGGGCTCAGTTGTGATTATTGTTTTTCTTTCCTAGTTTACTTGTAAGATTCAAGAGGGGGCTGCAGCTTGTGCCTCTCGTTGGGATGATGTATGAACTCACTCTAAAGTTGCTTCTGAATCAATAAACTTATTATTATTCATCAAAATAATAAAAGGTCTTATTAAAAATAACAGAAAAGAAAGAGGATTGTTGCCATAACCCAAATAGGCATTCTCCGTGGATGTTTACCTCTCGAGCACAAGGAGGCATAAGTCTCCTTAAGAAGAAGAAGTTTTTTTATGAAAGATGTTGTGCACTAAGAAGAATGAGAATGCATAGCACTAGCTAAAAGAGGCAAGCAAGTGAGCAAAGCAAGAGAGTTGGAGCAAAAACAAGATCCCCTAACACAAGAAACTAAATTGGGCTGCATCAAAAAGTTGTTGGGTGGAGGGGGATCTTAGTGGGGCCTGAGGGCAAAAACCCTAGCCTAGGTCCCTTCCCTTCACTTTCTTTCTATTTTTCTATATAAAGCATGCATGAGGCATATGAGGTGTACCAGAGGTATATGCTTCACGCATAAGGCGTTTGAGATGTACACCTCATGCACCCAAGGTGTTTGAGATATACATATTTCATGAGGAATGTGGTAATTATTAGTTAAACATTACTACTTATTACTATGAAACCTAGGGAACCACCCTAGGATTTATATTTTTTATTTAAAAAAAAAAAAACTCATTGCCTAGGCAACAAGGCACTCTCCTATTGCCTAGCTTCACTTTGGTGCCTTGAAAACTATGCACAAAAACCACCTTGGGGGGTGCAACTAGTGTTATTAAAGCATCAACTAGTGAATAACTAGTCAGTTGAGGGCCAGACTAACTGCATAATTGATTAGTCGGTCAATACTAATGATGAAGTCACCTAGGACAACTAAGCATTTTATCTAGGTTAACTAGTCAATTAACGAATAGTCAACCTAGTCGTTACTATGAAACCTAGGGAACTACCCTATGATTTATATTTTTTATTAAAAAAAAACTCATTGCCTAGGCAACAAGGCACTCTCCTATCACCTAGCTTCACTTTGGTGCCTTGAAAACTATGCCCAAAAACCACCTTAGGTGATGCAGGATCAACTGTTCTAATACCAACCAGTGTTATTAAAGCATCAACTAGTCAGTTGAGGGCCAGACTAACTGCATCACTGATTAGTCGGTCAATACTAATGATGAAGTCACCTAGGACAACTAAGCATTATCTAGGTTACCTAGTCAACCACAAAATCATTTTAAAGCTTAATTTGTTTTTCTTTTATTATATAATTCTTCAAAATGATATAAAATATTTTTTTTTCATTTTGTTATATTCTAGTTGTTGCCTTAAATATTTGTGATCAAACATGATTGAATGATGGTATATCAAATAGAAAATTGCATAAAATAAAAGGTAGTGAAGTTCAGTGTTGTGTTGGTATGAAGTTGCCACAAACAAATGGCACATCAGATAGTTGAGGTCACACTCCTTCTTTGGAGGGGAAAACAAAAAAGACTATGATTCATTATCCTAGCCTATCCAACCTAACTCTATTTTTGTTTGCAAAACAAAGACTATAAGCTAAATGTTTGATATCATTCTTTTCTTGCAGAATTGTAGTACACAAGTTATTTATGAGACTTCATCAATATCTTAAATTTAGAAAATATCTTTTTTTAACAACTAGTTGGTGCTTAGGCACTAACCAGTAATCATGTCATTGTCAACTAGAGAGGCCAAAATACTAATCATCACTTCACCACATTGATGACACTGATACCAAATGATGCAGGAGAAATTTCTGTTGTACCAAATTGATGCAGGTTGAACCTGCAAATAAAAAAAAATAAAAAATAAAAACTAAGAATAATAAAAATAAAAAAGAGGATAAAAATACCCAGGAATCAGTGCCTAACAGCTTCTTGAAGGAATCAGCACTGTCAAGAAAATTTGAATCACTTCAACAGTAGTAGAAAACTCAAATTCTACTATTGTATATCAAAAAGAGAGGGCCTTACATATATTTATAGGCAAAAGGGGACAGTGGGTGATGCAGGAACCTGCATGTCAAACTTTCAGTATTTATAATTTATGGGTGGTAAGAAACTATGAATATCATCTAAACTTTCAGTGGTTATTTTCTAATTACTTGATTTATTACTAACCTCCCTAGTGTTAGATTAGGACTTGCTTTTCTTAGTTGCATTAGAAGTTGGTTTCCTAATTATAGTAGGAGTTAGTTCCTAATTGGATTAAGAGTTATATTAGCAAGTCAAAATTATTCTAGTATGTCAGAACCAACTAGGATTTGTCTTAAGTCAAAGTCCTTGCCCTTGGACAACTAGGATTTGACCTATTTCTAGTTAGTTTATTATAGTATTCCTTCCATAGGTGGTTTTGAAGCAAAGAAGCAAGGCAAAAGGGTTGTCCTACTCTCTTTTCGATACTTAACTTTTCTGCTTCTATTGTTGAGGTGATTCTAATTTTCTGGATGGTGTTGATTTCTTAATCCCTAATACTAATAGTTTCTTCAAAGAAGTACGGACAGGCCCCGCCCGTGAATTGGCATCAATTCCGAGCTGGCACCTACCCCAACAGTACTTTGTGCCTATAAATTCTGACCCTGGGCTGAACCGTCTTTCTCCCTAGTTCCTTTAGGTGCCAAGTCCTAGGGAAGCCTGGGTGCTGATTTATGGGTTATTCTTATCTTATTTGTCTTAAATTGTAGGTAAATCCTACATCAATTTGGTATTAAAGCAGTTTTTCCTATACTAATGAGTAGAGTTAATTTTAGGTTGATTGCTTCCCAAATTACTAGGAAAATCCTAAAAAGAAAAGAAAAAAAGTGGTAGAAAAATGGAGAGAGAGAGAGAGAAGGGGGGTAAGGTAGCTCTATCCTTGTAGGCTTCTAACAGCTGCCATCGAAACACTTGAATCAATACCGTAAGGCTTTAAACTACATGTTTAATCCATAAGAACAATAATAATGCAAGGGAATTCTAAAGCTCCCATTCAATGGAAATATTGCATGCGGAAAGTAAAGAATCTAGGTTCATTTTAATTAGCCATGGTTGAGACTTTCCTCCAAGTAGGTACATTAAAAAAAAATGAAAAACCAGTTAACCAAGTTGATTTAGACCTTCGGGGCTAAAACTCAAAAACTCAATAATAAAAAAAAATAGGAAACTTAAAAAAAAAATAATATCAAATTTAACCAAACAAAATGATTTGTATGTTGAAAAAGAAGGAGAGCAGGGTAACACGATTAAAAAAAAATATAGAGAGAGGAGCCCCTGTTTACAACACTGATTGGAACGATTCAAAAGAGTCGAAGCCCCCTTTTTTTGAACTGGTGGGTCATGACTCTACCACAGGACACGCACAGCTTGACATGGAAGAAGAAGAAGGAGGGGGAGGAGGAGGCACATGTCTCATTACCAATCGAACAATACAGATTTTCAGAGAAAAAAAAAAAAACAGATTTATCATTGAAAAAGGCTTACCTCACCCTAAAATGAGAGAAACCACAGAGGAGAGCGGCCTTGTGCCGGAGCTAATGGAAGGACTGGAGGTGGCGTTGTGTGCGACTGTACGTCTCGCTTCTCCCTTTCTTGCTGGGGTTCGCAAGGCGCTGAACACTCGCCAGTCGCTTTAGCCCGTAAACGATAGGCAACGTCGGAATTTTCAAAAATGGTAGGGATAAACTTGGAAAAAATGCTTATATAAAATATAGAACACATTTTTAAGTGCCCCACCACACAATTTCACAAATTAATTTAAACATAACTGAGGTTTTCAAATAGACTTAAATATATTTTGTGGGGCTGCCCTTAATTGGACTTAAACATGCCGTTTATTATTAAAAATATAAAATGCTACATATTAATACATAAAAATTTTTAAAATCCTATTTCACCTTCCTGTGTTTCTTTTAATAGATGTTTATGAATAATCAATTTATTTTATATGAAAAAATGGGACCCAAATCAAAGTAACGTCTTGAAATCCTTTATGTTGGGGTTATAGAAAGATATTCAATATAAGAGAGCATTTGTTGGATGAAAGAAAATGGGAGAAAATACAAGACATAGGAATAGGATTCTTATGAAAGAAAAACTATTTTAGAGCGAAAAAGAAAAAAAAAAAAAAAAAAGGAGAAATAGTAGAGAATGCAATTTGGATGGGCCAACCCAAGACCAAATCAATTCAGCCCATTTTTTACATGGGCTGGGCTTGGGACAAAACCCTAGGCTTCAGGCTTGGTCTTAGTCCTTAGTGGTTTGAGCTCGAACCCAACATACCCTAATTCCAATTACATACATTCACACATATGTAGATCCATATATGCATATACAAGCATGCATGAATGCATAAGTTTATGTAATATTTCAGTGCATTCGACCTAATAAGCCTGACTAAGCCCAATTGACCAACCCAAGTATGTCAAATTTCATCCAGGTTGGATTTGAGCTATACAAATTAAGTTTGACCTCAAACTCAATCCGAGCTTGGGCCTTAAACAAACTCTTAGGCTCCGTTTGGTTTGTGGGTGGGGATGAGAAAAAGTTCTCTTATTTGTTTTGAGGGAAATAGAGGGATGGGATGAGAAAAAGGTGGAATGCAAGATTTCAAAAATGTGGAATCGGGGTCACACCAAAACAGTGCAACCCTGGTAGAAAAACTCAAGAAACCATTGTTCATTACCTTCCAATGACGAAGACGAATGACAACGAACAGTGTGACTCGATCTATTCTCCACTGTTTTCTTCACTAGATACTGGCAATGAACCATTGTCCATTGCCTTCCTCGTTCGAACAGAGGAGGCGGCGGTGGCAAGAGAACCAGGCAATGGGAAGGAACAACGAACCAAGCAGCGGTGATCTAAAGAGCGGCAGTGGCAAGAGAACTAGGCAGCAGCGATCTGCTACCCTGCTACCATCGAGATGCTACGTCTTGGTTTGCGAATGAGGACCCATAGAATAAGGAGCATTCTGATCATTTACCAACGGAAACCACGCTGGAATACCCCTAGCCTTCATCGGTCTCTGATGGCCCAATCCCCATGGATAGCGATGTTTCCATCGACTGGCCCTTCTTTGACATATTCCCAGTGGGATCCAAAGATACCGTGTTGGATTTTGGAGTTTTTTCTGGGTTTGACGATTATTTGACCGACTATTTTCCCTCGTCTGGATTCCTTGGATGAAGGAACGACGAACCAGATAGCGGCGATCTGAAGAGGCGGTGGTGGCAAGAGAACCAAGCAGCGTCGATTTGCTACCCTGCTACCTTCCCTGTTCTCTGTCTCTCCCTCCATCTTCCTCTTCTCTCTTCTCCCTCACCTTCTTCTTCTTCTTTCGGCGAAGAACCAAGTCGTGACGTGTTTTTCCTATTATTTTCCCATATATAAAACCAAACACTAGAAAGTCCAATTTTTACACTTTTCCATCCCATCCCACCTAAATCTTCCCACAAACCAAACAGAGCCTTAAGGTTGGGTTTGGGTTGACTTTAAACCCAGTCCAATTGAAATCGGATTTGGTCCTCACAAGATTGTGCTCACATTGTTTACACAGTCCCCTACAACCTTGCATTAGAAATGTTTCCCATAAAAAAGCATATAAGTACAGACAAATTCTCAATGCACGACTATAAAAGGCTATGAGAATGGTGTGAACACGGTCTTTGTGAGCACTGAATCCAATCTCAGTCCAACCTACCTAACTTGTATCCCTAGGAAATAGGAAGAGTTTTAGGCTATGTTTGTTTTGAAAGAAAAAGTAGGAAAAGGAAGGGAAATGTAGTCAAGTTGTACCAGGTTTCCCTAACTTTTATTTCAAACCAAAAACAACAAAATTAAGGGAGATGTAGAGTATGGTGATTAATTAGGTGGTAGGAAAAAAAAAAGAAGATAGAACAAAAACAATAATATAAAAAAAAAAGAGGGAACATATACCTAATCTCGTGAGTGAATGGAATTTTACAAAAGATTGAAAGATATAGTACTAGAAGAACTTTACGGTTTGACCAATCAAAGCACCCCATGAATTGTGATGAATGCCACCTGATTGGTAAACTCTTTTATTATTACTAATAAGTGTGCATGCGCTTTGTACATGGCAATTATAGCTGATGATAATGATAGGAATAATATATCAAAAATTTTATATAAAATTCATGTATTTTATTTTTATATATATTTTTTTGTTTTTTGCTATTAGTCAGATTTAGATTGCAAAATTTGAATCTGATTACATAAGCACCTCATATTGGGCTGAAAGTTTTGGGTATCATTGATAGGCCTACCCACTTGGCTGGACTCTTCTTTTTGTAATGTTTTATCTTCTTAGTGTATATATTTTTTTTGTTCATTTATAAAAAAAATGTAAGATTTAAAGAGAGGGAATTGAATGAGGTGAAAATTGTAGTTGAAACTACATTTTAAACCTCACAATTAAATAAGGATTAAATTCAAAAAATGGGTATTTTAGTCAAAAGAAAGTTTCACAATCTCACTCATATTTTTAGTAGTAGTGTAAATATGGAGTTGATGTGTTCAATTTTTTCTATACTTTTATTTTTATTTCTATGTGTGTAAAAATAATACTATTTTTTACACTTATTTTTTGTTTAATATAGGAAATTATACATGTGCCCAATTTGTTTTTGTAAAATTTATGTATTTCTTTTATTTTTGTGTTTTTTATATTCTATTAATTTTTATTAGTTAATTATGACATTAAAGATTGATAGATTTGATCCAAAAGTTTAACTAGTGACCTCTGCTAAACAAGAAAATGATTTCATTTTTGGTTAGTTTTAGATTATGTATTTCATTTTCATCATCAATAAAAATAATTCTTGTTTATTACACTTGTTTTTTAATTTAATTAATAAAAAATATAATAAATGTGTCTATTTTTTTTTACATTTTTGTATTTTTTATATTTATTTCTATTTAAAATTTTTATTATCTAACTATCTTCATGGGTTGGCCAATGTGATTTAGATAATTGAATTGCTTAGTCATCACTTGGATAAAGAATGGTTTTGTTTTTAAGTAAGTTTTAAAATATATAGGTTTATATTATTAAAAGTATTGGATATAAATCTAATTAGTAGCATTTATTAGTGAAAAATAACTTAAATTTAGGATTTAATAAGAGATAATTGGAGTTAATACCTTAAATACAAGAATTAATGAGAGGGGATTAAATGAGATGAAAAAAATTAATTGAAATTACATTTTCAACCTTCATAATTAGAAATGGACTAAATAACAAATGTGGGCATTTTAGTCAAAAAAAAGTTCCACATGCTCATTCGTAAGTTCTTTACCCATGGTAACTTACTACCAAAGGAATGTGGCAATTCTAGATGATGATAATAATGACTATAATAAATCCAAAATTTTCTATAAACTTTTATGTATTTTTTTGTTTTTATATTTATATTTTTTATTATTAATTGGATGTAGATTGCAAAATCCAAATTTGATTATATAAACACCTCATCCAAATATAAGATAATCGAATTGAGTTGTGAAGTTTCAGGTATCATTGACAAGTTTACCAATTTGATAGGGACGCAAACTGATTGGATAAAATTCGAATTAAGGTACATTTGAATATGATCCAATACTATTAATAGAAGATCCGATCGCATCTCATAAACATGGATTTGAATACGAATCCAATGAGGAAATCAGATATTTGGATATGATCCATTCTAATTTAATTTAAAAATAATAAAATATCAAAAGAAAATTAAAATATAACAATTTAAATAAAGAAAAACAAAAAAAATACAAGTATCTTTTCAACTATTTTTATCATATACATATACATTTTTATAAAAAATAAATAATATAACAAATTTACAAAAATGCAATATAAACAATATATATATAAATTCGATCGAATTCGGACCGAATAGGAAGTGATCCGAATTCGATTCAGTTTCTGATTAGATCTTATTATCCAACCCGATCCTATTTGAAGATCCGAATTGGAGATATCTGAATTCGACAAAAAGGATTGGTTCGGATCATTATCTAATCCATTTGCACCCCTACTGCTTGGCTAGATTCTTCATTTTGTAATGTTTTATTTTTTTGGTGTATCTTTTTTTATTCATTTATAAAAATGTAAGATTTAAAGAGTGAATTGAATGCGGTGAAAAGTAGTAATTCAATTTATAATTTAAATTACAATTAGATAGGGACTAAATTCAAAAATAAGTATTTTAGTCAAAAGAAAATTCCATAATCTTATTCATATTTTTAATAGTAGTGTAAATATAGAATTATAGATGTGCTCAATTTTTACTACAGTTTTTTTGTACTTTTGTGTGGAAAACTAATTTTGATATTTTACACTTACTTTTTGTTTAATAAGATAAATATATGATATTATACATGCGTCTAAATGCTATTTTTTCAAGATGTATGCATTTTTTGTATTTTCATATTTTATTTTATTAATTTTTATTATTTATTTATGATGTTAAAGTTTAATACATTTAACCCAAAAGTTGAACAATTTATTATTAATTTTTATATTTTATTTTTTATTAGTTTTAAATTATGTATTTCATTTTCATTATCAATAAAAATATTTGTTGTTTATTACACTTATTTTTTAATTTGATTACATAAATGTGTCTACTT